AGCTTTTACGATTCTGAGAAATTTTCTCTGCAAGAAGAAGAAACAAATAAAGAGTCTATTATAGTTCCCGCTGATTTTTGTAACTACAATATCCGTAACTTTTTTTTTTTAATTAAATCACGCTATTTTAGACAAATTCTAATATAACCCCATATCTTTTACATTTATCAGTTTAACCCCTCAGAGATGCACAAATTTCCGAGATTTCAGCAGTAAACAAAAAAAAAAGCATTTCCTTTGCGGTAAAGTTGTTAATTGCTATGAACAAAACAAATGAGAAAGATCGAGAAATATTTTGTTGAAAACTGGCCCAAAATTGGCATTCCCTTGCTACATCAATTATACATTCTAGTGAAAATATTATGTAAAAGCTTATTTTACAACACCCAGAGTGTGACACAGAACATACCGATGAGCTGATGGAAACAATCCAGTTCAATAATGATCTGATCTCATCGTAAAGCTTTGAGCCTTTGCGTGTTGCAACACTTCTCTGAGAACCGAAGCTATTCGATGCGACATATGATGTTCTAAAAACATCTCCTTTACTCTCTCATACCCATTTTTTCCCATTGTTAGCCGTAACTCAACTTGCGTCGCCAATTTCACTATGTTCTTGGCGAGAGGTATCACGCCTTCTTTCCCCGCACTGTGTAACAGACCAGTTTTTCCGTTCACCACAATCTCCATTGTACCTCCGGCTGCAGTACCAAGTACAGGAAGCTTAAAAGCCATGGCTTCGATGGTTATTCTACCAAAGCATTCTCCTCTGGCTTGGGAGTTTTGGACAAGAACGTCAATGGCTGCTATATATGGAGCTACGGTAAGGGTTTTGTTGACAAAGTGAACATAGTTCTGAAGTTTCTTCTCTTGGACAAAGTTCCGTAGTTCTGTCTCGAACTTTGTCTGTTTGCTCATGTCGCTTCCTACTACTACTGCATGCATTGTTGGTACCTGAAGTTTCTTCTCTTTTATTATTTCAAGACTTTCCTGGAAGGCTCGGAGAAATAGATCTTGACCTTTCCCACGCGATACACCTGAAATAGAAATGAAATAAGTAACTTCTTCGGTAACCGATGAATACACAACTCTTGCACTTTTAGTTGTGATGCTCCTGGGGAAACTGAGAAACAGGAAGACTTAAAAAGATGGCTTACTATTAATAATGCCAAATAGTAAGTCTTCATTCCTCACTCCAAGAGATTCACGGACGTGCTCACGGAGAACTCTCTTGGCAACACTATCTTCAGCTACTTCCATCAATTCCTTGCTATTTCCTAAATGCACGACGTATGTTTTGGGCATTTTAATCCTGCATTCCACCATAGAGGATAAGGAAGAACTAAATCCAACTGAAATGGGGTAACGCTCTACATATATATCTTAGTTTTATGTATATCATTCACATGAAGCAGGAGGTGCAAAAGAGGAAACGGACCCTAGGCGAGCTTGCGTTCTGTTTTTCCAGTATTCAGCCGTTGCGTCTGAATCAATCATAGCCCCTGCAACAAAAGGGAGGTGTTTGACCAAATCCGGTTTGAAATAGTGTCCCCTCATCTCATGAATCCACCAGAGGATCTTAGGTAGAACTTTAACAACATTTTCCTTCAGAACCGCATCGAGCCATTTCCCAGCCACAGCGGTATTTAGAACAATCAAATCAGCCTTGAGAGCTGTATCTATAGCTTTCTGACTCTTTGCAGAGCTAACCTGGAAACAGAAAGTTTCACACTAAGACCAAACAATCCAAAGAAAATGTTCAATCAATAGTAAATGATACTCCTTTTCTCAAAAGCAAGAGATTCGAACCTGCACACCTCGATCCAACATCTTGTGTTCTAAACTGTAGATAACTTCATCAGCTTCAAGTGGTTTCTGATTAGTGATCCAAACAACTTCAGCATCAACTTCTCTTAACAAAAACGCCAATTCCATTAACAACAAAGGTCCACCTATAATCACACAAAAAAAAATCATCATCGTCTCATAAAAAAATTGGATTTTGCAAAGAACCCAAATCAAAATTCTGAAATCAGATCAGTAACCTGAGAGAGAAAGCTCGTGTGAGACTAACAAAACGAGCTTCGATTTCATGAACTTTAGAGGATTCGGAGCTGATTGAATCTTCTCCTCTACGAATCGGTGGTCGCTGATCTTACCACCAACGATGCAGGAATCAAAGCTAGATCTCACGAGAATCAACACCACCGTTGATACAGACAAACCCAACAAAATCATCAAAGCCAATCTCTTCCTTTGCATTGTGACCCAGAAACTCGTCGACGGCTTCACCATTGTTTTTCCTCCTCTAAAAGGTACATTTTAGGGTTTAAACATCCAAAATCTTCGCAAATTCCTCGTAGAGAAGCTTGCGTGATAATCCGAGACGAGAAAAATCGAGACGAGAACTGGCAAGAGAATGGATCACTGTCGAAGCAGATCAAAGATCAGTGAGACTGAGAATGTGAGAATCTCGAAGAAGAAATTTTGGTGTTTAAAGCGTCGCAGTTCACGCCGTTTTTTTGGCGTTTTGACGGTTGGTCTTGAAGAACGTCGTGCCGTTTTGTATCACCGCGTCACTTCCTTATCCTCTAGGTGAGAAAGAAGGTTAAGTTGACATTAAACCTGCTATTTCGTCAAGAAGGTTTCATTTACTCTATTTTGGGTTATTATGGACTTCAGAACATTTAGGTTG